GTACCATTGGTCTACCAGTCTATTTTGGTGCCAATACAATGCTGTTTTTGTTACTATTGCTCTGTAGTATAGTTTAAGGTCTGGTATAGTGATGCCACTTGCTTCACCTTTCTTGCTAAGCATTGCTTTAGCTACTCTGGGTCTCTCATTTTTTCCAGATGAATTTCATGACTGCCTTTTCTATTTCCATGAGGAATGTCATTGGGATTTTGATTGAAATTCCATTAACTCTGTATAGTGCTTTTGGTAGTGTGGTCATTTTGACAATATTAATTCTGCCTATCCAAGAACAAGGGAGATCTTTCCGTCTTCTAAGTTCTTCTCTATTTTCTTTAACATTCTGTAATTTTCATTGTAGAGGTCTTTCACCTCTTTTGTTGATTCCCAAGTATTTTTATTTTTTGAGGATATTGTAAATGGGATAGTTTTCCTAGCTTCTCTTTCAGAGGATTTGTTATTAATGTACAGAAATGCCTTTGATTTATGGGTGTTGATTTTATATCCTGCTACTTGGCTGAATTCATTTATTAGTTCTAAGAGATTTCTGGTGGAATGTTTTGGGTCTTCTAGGTATAGAATCATATTGTGGGCTAGTAATGCTAGTTTGAGTTCTTCTTTTCCTATTCGTATCCCTTTAATTTCTTTCGATCTCTCTAATTGCTCTGGCTAGAGCCTCAACTTCCTTAACAAGACTCCTATAGTGCAAGAAATAAAATCAAGAATCAAGAAATGGGATGGATTCAAACTAAAAAGTTTCTCAGCAAAAGAAACAATCAGTGAAGTGAACAGGGAGCCTACAGAATGGGAGAAAATTTTTACCACACACACATCAGATAGAGCACTAATCTCTAGGGTATATAAAGAACTCAAAAATCTTAACACCAAAAATACAAATAACCCAATCAATAAATGGGCTAAGAAACTGAACAGACACTTCTCAGAAGATGATATACAATCAACAAATATATGAAAAAAATGTTCAACATCTCTAGCAATTAGGGAAATGTGAATCAAAACTACTCTAAGATTTTATCTCATTCCAATCAGAATGGCAGCTATAAAGAATATAAACAACAATAAGTGTTGGTGAGGATGTGGGGAGAAAGGCACACTCATACATTGCAGGTGGGACTGCAAATTGGTGCAGCCAATATGGAAAACAGTTTGGAGATTCCTTGGGAATTTTGAATGTAACCACCGTTTGACTCAGCTGTCCCACTCTTTGGTTTATATCTAAAGGACTTAAAAACAGCATACTACAGGGACACAGCCACATCAATGTTTACAGCAGCACAATTCACAATAGCAAAATTGTGGAATCAACCTAGATGCCCTTTGGCAGATGACTGGATAAAGAAAATGTGGTATATATACACAATGGAATATTATTCAGCATTAAAAGAGAATAAAATTGTGGCATTTGCAGGTAAATGGATGGAGTTGGAGAATACTATGTTAAGTGAAGTAAGCCCATCCCAGAAAACCAAATGCCAAATGTTTTCTCTGATATGAGGACACTGATCCATAACAGGGATGCGGGGGGAGTGTGGGATGAATAGTGGAACTTTAGATAGGGCAAAAGAGAGGGAGGGGAAGGGGAGGCAGGGGGATAAGAAAAACATCATTATCCTAAGTACATGTAATAAAGACACAATGGTGAGACTCTACTTTGTATACAACCAGAGACATGAAAAATCGTGCTCTATATGTATAATATGAATTGAAATGCATTTTGCTGTCAAATGGTCAGGTTCTCCTTTTTTTTTTTTTAATTCTATATAGAATTTTTAAAAAAGGAGAACCTGACCATTTGAATTGACACTAAAAGTGAACTCTCTTTTGCCCCCTGATGGCAGGTACTAAAAATTGCAGGTTAAGTACCTGTGGGAAGTGGAATGAGGGTCCCCTAAGGAGGTTCCCGAGCTAAAATCTAAACATAAGAATATGTTACGTTACTAGGCAAAAGGGAGTTAAAGCTAGCAGACAGAATTAAGGTTCCAATTCAGATGACCTTGAGGAGAGGAGACTATCTTAGATTATCCAGGTGGGTCCAGTGCAGTTATAAATGGAAGAAGGAAGAGGGAGACAGAGATGCTCTCTGCTCAACGTTGCTGGCTTTAGAGATGGAGAAAGAGGCCAGGGACTGAGGAACAAGGACAGCCTCTAGATGCTGGAAAAAGTCAGGAAACCGTTCCTTCCTGAAATCTCCTGCTCTACATCCTTGATTCTAACCCAGTGAGACTCACTTTGGACTTTTAATGCTTAGAACCATAAGATGATGAATTTGCATGTGCAGTCACTAAGTGTGAGGCAATTTATTATGGCAGCAGTAGGTGGCTAACGTGAGAACATCCAGTGAAGGGGAAACTGAAATTCTGTCACTAGTTGTCACAAGGGCCTTTGAATTAATTATACATTCATTCAGTAAATTTGTGTCTAGGCACTGGATACAGGGCTGAGCAACACCAGCTCCTGTCCCTGGGCTTGAAGGGACATCTTGCAGGGAACAGGTGCTTAGCAAACAGCCTGCCAAGTGCTGTAGGGAGATTGCTGGGCTCAGGGGTGAACCGGTGAGAATCCCTCCTTCGTGTCACCTGGATGTTCCTAAATGTTGTCCCCTGTGCTAGAAGTGTTGAGGAAGAGGAAGCATTCATGTCAAATGCAAACACCAAGATGCCTTCGGTCAATATTTGCGCTTCTGTTCATGGAGTTTGCTCTGCTGAGGACTCGGGAGGCCTAGTGTCTGTGGCATCTGTAGACAAACCAAGGCCAGGAGTGGGATGGGAGGGGCTCAGAGCAGCCCCTTCTCATTCCTTTTGGCCTCTAGAATTGGGGTTATGGAGCAAGGACGGGAGACAGGGCTAGTCCAGGGGAGATCTGGGTCCCCAAGGGAGGGCTTGATAGTGTCCAGGTCCCTGTCAGCCCTGTGGGCACTAATGGGAACCCAGGACAGGGTCGGCCTGGGCTCGGGGCTTGGTACTTGGGCTGGTGAGGACTCAGTGGGGGCCACAGAGCATTCTGGAATGGTGGAAGCCCTCTAGGCCCTTGTCCCTCTGTCCCAGTTGAGTCATGCAGAGGAATGGAAAGACCCTCCTTGAAGCCAGACGTCACCTCCTGTGCACATGTGTACATGCACACACTCACACTCACACACACACCCCAGGACCAGGAAGCAGTCCACTACACACACTGGCGTCTAACACACACAGACCCACAAACACTCAGTAGACCAAGTCACACGTGCCTGTTTGCCCACCACCTCACATCTGCACTCTTATAGTTTTGTGTAAATTGGCACGTGACATCCTAAACCAAGGTGTCAATGTGCCCTGTCACGTATACACCCACACAGAAACCAGAAATGACAACCTAATGCATATGTGAATGTGCAACTCTGCACACACCACCACACTCACGGACACACACATAGTGCTCCCTCACATGCACAGACGTGGACATGCCAGCTTCAGGGGCACACACGGTCCTCTGGGTCCTGCGTGGCTGCGGTGGACTGTGGAGTTCGCAGTGGAGAGAGGGGACGGGTTAGACCCACTGTGCATGGGGTGTGCGAGTTTGGAGGGGGACTGGGTGTTAAGGTTGGGGACGGGTCATCCACACGTTGTCTTCTGTTCGCTTTGAGTGAAGGCTCAGTGTGTGACCAGCATCAGACCTCAGTCAGTGACAAGGGTTAGGTCTCAGTGTTTACCCAGAGACAAAGCTCAGGGTGTGGCCAGGATCAGGGGACTGGGGCTCAGGTAGCCTCCTTCTCCTCTGAAAGGGTCGTGTTTTGGGGACAGCGTGGGGACACCAAGCTTGAGGGGTCATTGTGGCCGTCCCCCTGTGTTTGGGCACTCCCTTCTTCCTGGGCCTTGCCTGGGCCTGCCTGGGCTGATGAGGGACCACCCCTGGGGACAGCCACTCTTCCGGAGGCTCCTGGCCCTGGAGACCAGCGCTGTCTAGCTCCAGGGTCTCGCAGCCGTTGGCAGCCAGGCCTGGCGACGTGGCAGCCCATCGCACATGACTGAGATGGACACTTGGCAAAGACCGTGTTTGCAGGGAAAACACTTGGCACCGCCCACGGACCTCCTCTGCCCCAGTCCCTGCCCAGTGGGCCCTGCACACGGGGAAGCCTCATAAAGCCACCTGCGCACCCGTCCACCTCAGGCAGAAGCGGACTTGTCTGGGCTGAGTGTCCACCTGCCTCAAGAACTACCTGAGGTAGGAAGGGGCTGGGACTGGCTCTTGTCCCCTGCTCCATGGGGACATGACCTCTGGCTGCCTGCTGCAGGGGACTCCAGCCACCCCTGGCCTTGCTGGGGGACTATGGGCAGGGGCTGCCTTGCTAGGCCTCAGAGGGCCCCTCTGAGCTGTGTCCCCTCGTCCCTTCCTGCTGGGACAGAGGTTGAACACAGGTTCGGTACAGACCTGCTCACTGAGCCAGGCCAGGCCGGTGGGTTGGGGTCCTGGGGGAGGCCAACATGCAGGCCCTTACTCCTGGCTAGGAGGAGATCAGGCAGGAGCCACCTGGGTCCTCCCCTGGCCAGGTCTGCACCCTGGAGCCAGGGTGGGCCGCCACCCCAGACTGGACTACTGGTGACAGCCCTGGCCTTGGGACCCTGGTCAGAGTCCTCTTCTTGGGACAGGAAGCTGCCCCCCATCTCCCCATCTAGGAGTTTCACCACCCTCCTCTGACATGAGGTGGGGTTTGCACTTGTCCCCTGTAGGCTGTGTGGCTTGGGGCAAAGCCACGCCTTCTCAGGGTCTGGGAGCCGTTTCCAAACCAGTTTCCCTCCTGGTTCTGGTGGAGCAGACTGGGAGACGGTCACTCCCAAGGTGCAAAGCTGGTGTCCAGGGTCCAGGGCAAGGCTGTGCCCTTCACTTAGGACTTGTGTACTCCAGACCAGGCTGGTGTGAGCGGCCCAAGGGTGGGCTGTGCGGGCTCACTACCTGAGCCTTGTCTCTATCCACCTGCAGATCCTGGGGCAGAGGCCAGTTCAGCCATGGCTGGGGTGCATGGGCTGAGGCTTCTGCTGGCGCTGCTGCTGCCCGTGGTCAGCGCCTCCACGGTAGGCACCGTGGTCCGAATCAACAAGGCCGTCCTGAGCTACGGTAAGAGAGGTGCCACCCAATCTGGGCGTGGAGCCCGTGTCTGCATGTGTGGGCGTTCCAAAGTGTGTATGTGCTGTGAACGCAAAAGAATTCTTTTTTTTAAAAAAAATTATCTTATTTTTTATTTTTGTGGGGAGGTACTGAGGATTGAACCCAGGGGTGCTTAACCACTGAGCCACATCCCCAGCCCTTTTTCAATTTTTAAATTTTGAGACAGGGTCTCATTAAGTTGCTGAGGGTCTTGCTAAGTTGCTGAGGCTGGCTTTGAACTCAAGGTATCTCCTGCCTCAGCCTCTGAAATTACAGGCACACGCCATTGCACCCAGCTACACCTTAGCTTATAATGTTTTATTTAGAGACAGGGTCTCGCTGAGTTGCTGGGGCCTCACTCAGTTGCTGAGGCTGACTTTGAACTCAACATCCTCCTGCCTCAGCCTCCCAAGCCACTGGGTCTATAGTTGTGCCTGGCCACAAAAGGATTCTTATCCACTGCTGTGACAGTGCCTGAGCCAGTACTGCTCAATGAATATTTATTAAATGAGCAGGACTATGTATCATATGGTCAACATGCAAACGTGTACACATGTCTGTGTTCACGTGTATTAGTGGTTAGTTCCAGTAGTCATTTTTACAAGTGTATGTCTACTTATGAATTTGGAGTTTTGGGGGTGTGTGGGTACTGGGGATTGAACGCAGGGGTGATTAACCACTGAGCCACGTCCCCAGCTAACTTGCTTAGGGCCTTGCTAAATTGCTGAGGCTGTCCTTGAACTTGAAATCCTCCTGCCTCAGCCTCCCAAGTCCCTGGGATTGCAGGCGAGCGTCACTATGCCTGGCTGAGTTTGGAATTCTGTGCAGATGTGCTCACGTGTGTACTCGAGTGTCGGGGAGGGTGTGTGATCACCGCATGTGCCTGGATGGCTGTGCTCTCCGGGTATAATGTGTGCGTGGGGCATCTGCACGTGCAGGTGTCCTGGGAGAGCAGCAGGTCAAGCAGTGCTGTGGGGAGTGTCTGAGGTTAGATCCTTGCTGGGCTCAGTGGGCCAGCCAGCCCTCTCTAGGCCCCTTTTGGGCCAGGCCTCTGTCTCATCACTTTGCTGCTAAATCCTTTGGAGACCTGCCCTGTCCCCTGGGGAAGGCACGATGAGGAAACCTAGGCCCAGGAGGGACCAAAGTTGCCACGGTCCAGGACTGAGCACAGAAGTCTGTTCGCCACCTGTGGCCTCCCAGGGAGCTTCTGTGTCCCACAAAACCTGGGTCAGGGTGGACAACTGCCGGGGTGAGCAGCTCCAGCAGGCAGCAGAAGGGATTTTCAGTGTCCCCGGGCTCTGCGAAGCAGCAGGGTCCCCTCCCTCGGCCCTCAGGGTGCAATGGCTTTCAGGACCTCGGATCCGGGCAGATGAGCAGACAGGGAGCATGGGCAGTGATCCGAGCCCGAACGTGACTTGTTGACTTGTCTGCGGTCTCGCAAGGATGCCTGTGGGCGGGGCCACGAGCTGCCGCCCCCTGACGCTCCGCCCCCTGTGTCTGTTCCTAGTGGACATCCGGTGGGAGGTGCACCTGGCACAGGGGGCTTCCAGGCCCACATGGGGCGGCTTGCTCTGCATCAGGGCACCCGACCTGGAGCCCCAGACTGCAAGCCCCCCAAAGAGGGGACTCAGCACGTGGGAATCCAAGAGCTGGAGCTTCGGCCTTCCTGCTCTGCCTCTGGGGAAACTGAGGCCCAAGGACTTCTTCCCACCATCTCCACCATCGCCTCCCCGCTCCCGAGCTGACCCTCCCTTCCAGAACCATTGTCCCTCGTTTTCATTCAACTTGCCTTTAATCAGCACCAGGGCCCCCGCAGCGCAGCGGAGAGCGGGGCGTGCACAGACTTGAGCCAGCTGCTGGGGCTCAGGCCAGATCTCCCTGGCCAGGTGTCCTCGCCTCCCTGTAACCTGGGCACGGTATAAGAGGAAGGAGCTCAGAACAGTGCCCGGCTCTGTAAGGGACAGCCACCATTAGTCCTCTGTAAGGACAGCCGCCGCGGTGGTAGCTAGCACTCATTTCGCACCGTCTTTGCAGTGGCCCCAGGTGACGGCACCATTATAATCATTGCAAATGTGGAAACAGGGGCATGCAGCTGCCACCCGGGCAGTGCGGCAGTGCTGGGACTTGCACCCAGACTCTGGGGACTTTGGGGTGCTCAGCCTCCAGCCAAGGTCCCTCCTTGCTCAGGGGCAGCCTCCTCAGCCGCCAGGCATGCTGGGAGCCTCCTGGAGCCTGGCCAGAGGCAAAGGATTTTATTCTCTGAGGAATGAAATAAGCAGGGGTTTGAGAGGCAAAAGCGAGAGGGGACCAGCCTGTCCCGCAGAGGGCCTGGTGTGAGTGGTGGACCTGCAGAGGGCCTGGTGTGAGTGGTGGACCACCTTGAGGCGGCTTGCAAGCTGGGCCCTTCCAGAATCTGAGTCCCCTGCACTCCAGGTGCAGGGCAGATGGGAGGTGGTGGTCTTGCTGCTTGGTGATGACCAAGGCAGCCTGACCTTGCTCTGTCCTGGCCCTACAGTGTCTGAGTTCGGGAAAGTCCCTCTCCAGGAGGCCTTAAAGGTCGATGACCAGCATTTTCTGGACCAGAGTAGTGAGGTGCTTCAGACTGTCAGGTGAGCGCTCCCCTTTTTTAGAAGTGTGCTCACGACCCCAGGTGGAGTCAGCCAGGTGTGTGCTCCAGCCTATCAGGAGGGAGGATCCTGCCTGAGCTTTGCAGGAGGCCTCCCCCACCCCCTGCAGGCCCCCTGGGAGGAGGCGTTCCATCTGGCTCAACTCCCAGACCACTGGATGAGCACCCTTGTCTATGGAGGAGTGCTCCCCTTGCCAGGTTAGAGGTGCCCACTGCCTGGGTGACTGCTTACAAGATTTAGGAGATGGCACCTAAATGGAGACACAAGGGCCCCTGCGCCTTTGGATCAGTGGATTTCTGTTCTCAGGGCCAAGACTGTGGCTCCAGGATCCACAGAGCTGGCAGGACCCCCAGCTGCTCCCTCCAACAGCTGGACCAGGTTTAGACACAAGTCTGAGCGTCACGCCTCTGTCCTTTAATGCACAGAACCTCAAACTCAGGAACATGCAGAGATTGGGCAAAGTGTCCCCATTAATGTGGGAACAGAGACTTGCTACTGCCAGGAGTCTGGGTGTCCAGAAGAATGTATCTATCTATCTATCTATCTATCTATCTATCTATCTATCTATCTATCTATCTGTCTCATCTATGTGTCTATTTCTACCTCTGTCTATATCTTTCATCTATCTGTCTTTATCCCTTATCTCTATCTCTATTTATCTCTATATCATCTAGCTATATCTATTTATCTACATATAGCATCTGTCTATATCTGTCTGTGTCTGTCTATATCTATTTATCTATCTATCCATCCATCCACCCATCCACCCACCTACCTACTTATCATCTATACTTTCAAACAATGACAACTAATTGAAAAACTTAACTTTAAGACCGTGGAACACACATGGGTAAATAACCATGTGGCTTGGGGTCACTGGTTTGAGATGCCCCAAGGAGCACTCGAAAGCTGTTCGTGGCACGTTAATAGTGGTTGAGAGCCGAGAACTGCGTAGACACCCACCCACCAAGGCTTCTGCCATGGTCTCTGGTCTGGCCATGCCACGCACATCCCACAGAAGGGCCCTCATTTGCAGCTGTGGGAACACACTCAGGTGGTTGTGGAGCAGGCTCTAGGGTGGCCTGTGTGCTGGGGTGCACTGTGGACCCACATCACCTGAAGCCAATGGCCAGGGTGTTCAGGGTGGGTCTGGATGTGACCTTTACCTCTCCTGCCGTTTTGTAGTGTCTGATCACCCCCACCCCCAACTAAGAAATAAAGGGACTTTCACTTGGGAAAAAGGAAAACAATGTCATTGAACAGAGCGTGGCCAACAGAACGGGCAGTCCTGGAGGGGGACTGTCCCCTTGCTGGAGGGCTGCAAGCTGACCCTGTCTGCGGGGAAGCCCTGGAGGGATTTCCACCTTCAGTGGGTCCCAGGGTCTGTCCTTCCCCCTTCCTAAGTTCTGTGGTCAGGAGCATCAGAAACCTGTGCAGTGAGTGAGGTCACTTAGTCCTGCCGGTGTCACTCAGTCCTGCCGGAGGCTCGGCCCTCGGTGGCCCTGCTTGGTACACATCCTGCCAGGGCTCACGGCCGCCCCCTCCCCTCATGGTCCCGTCCTCAGAAAACCCTTCTTCAGCACCAACGGAGTGAGGGTGGCTCAGGACCCCTGCTGCAGCGTGGATTCCCTTGTCACCTTGGTTCTGCAGGATTCAGGTTCCAGAAGTCCGCGTGACGCGCCTCCACCTGAAGTTCCTCCCTGACTTCGGCATATCCGTGTGGGCGGCCGCCAATTTCACTGTCAAGGTGTTTTGGTGAGTGACTACCTCCCTGTTGGGGGACACTCCAAGGAGCAGAGTAAGGCAGACCAGGTTTTGGGGGGCCGGCACCTCCTCCAGGCCACTCTCTTGTACCCTGTGAGCAGGACAAGACAGTGAGAGAATCTCTGAGATCCCAGCCCCTGCCCTTTTCCCAACCCTCAGATTCCCCCGCTGTGAAATGGGGTGAAACTGCGCAGCGGGGCTGTGAGTGGATTCATTACTTGTCAGCACCATCCTCTTTCATGGTGGAAGGCACACAGTAGGTGCTCAATAAACGTAGCTATCAGAATGAGTCCTGAGCACCAGGCAGCCCTTAGGCGATGGCAGTCCGTGGCCAAGCCATGAGCTGGCCTTCTGGGGAGCCCTTGCTCTCCCCCCTGTTCCCCGCACTGCCGTTTCATGAGTGCTCACGGTGGCCGGGCTCAGAGTGGGCTCTTTTCACCTGGTGACCTCGTGGGAGACTCAGCACAGCCCTGCGGGATAAGTGCCACCAGTCCCAGGCCCACTCCACAGAAGAGCAAGCTGAGGCTGTGCCTGGCGAGTGACTGGCCCAGGGTCTTGCGGTGGGGGGCTCAGAGGGCCAGAATTCACCTACTGCAACATCTGTACCCCTTGTGGCCGGGGGCTCTGGGCCTGCCCTGGTGCAGCCGTCTCATGCCCCGTGGGGGGCAGCCCAGGTCTGGGACTTGGGGTTCTTTGGTCAGCTGGGGCAGGTTGTGCTGGGTGGGACCGCCCGCACTCAGGCCTGGCCTCCCTGCAGCGTCCCAGAGTCCCTGGAGCTGATGGTGCCTGTGATACTGCAGTCTGACTTACGTGTGACCCAGAGCTCCCTTGGGACCCCCAAGATCAGCATCTCCACCTTCTTCCCGCACTTCGGCCGAGCCACGGTGCTTGATGACAACAAAAAGTAGGTGTCTGCTTACAGGTACGGGGGGCAGGGCCCCAGGAGCTCCCGTGTCAGGGCTGCGGGGCCAGTTCTTGAGTGTCCCCCTCAAATATTTGTCCAATGAGCACAATAGACCTAAGAGACCCCCATTATCATGCCTCTTTTGTGATGGAGGACACTGAAGCTCAGAGAGGGGGAGAGACTTGCCTGAGGTCACACAGCCTATCAGCCAGTAATGGACACCTGGAGAGGGACTCTGCCCATGACATTGGCTGTCGGGAGCCTCGGAGGCCACCCTTCCCTGCAGAGTGGGAGTGGGAAGCCAGCTTGCAAAGGGTGGAGAGGCCGCTCATGTTTTCATGTGGACTAACACAGCACCTGCCTGAACCCTACTGTGTGCTCCTCCCAGTAGGTGTAAGGGCTCCTCCATTTTACAGAAGAACAAATGGAGCTCAGAGAACCTGAGTGACTAGCCTAAGGCCAGGAGCTGAATTCAAGCAAAGGAAGCTGCCTGATCCCACTGTTCCTGAATCCCCAACACTGTGTCCCCATCTTCCCAAACATGAGGAGGGGCTCACTCCGAGGTGGTTGAGCATTTTGGAGTCTTTAAAAAACGCCATGTTTGCACAAAGCCTGAACACTTTCCCCAGAGACGGGTGCACGCACGTTCGTTCATTCCTGCCGTGTCCCGGGTAGACCGTGGTCCCTGGCGGTCTCCGCAGGCAGGGGCCACTCCTGGTGGTTGGAGGGGAGGCTGCAGCCAGAGCTGACATGGTGAAAACCCAGATGCTTCTCCCCGCTCCCAGGCAGTGGTTCAGTGAGTCCCAGCTGTGACTTCCATCCACCCCTGACAGATGGAGGAAGCTCGGGTTCCCCGGGGCCACCTCTGAGAACCACCAACTTAGACCCCCCTCTCTGAGCTCCAGGGCCAGGGGGGGACCTCACTAGTCACAGAGAATTGGAACCAAAGCAGGAAGCAGACCCTGGGTCCTGCCGCCCCAGCCCACCGCCCTGGGCTCTGAGTAGTCATGAAGCCAGGGGACAGCAGGGTGGCCTCCTCTGGCCTTTGCAAGGTCTCTGCCTCTCCCGAGCCTGGCCTCGGGCATCACCTTCTCGGCCACTTTGAGACCAAGACTCAGCTCCCTCCCCTGCAGTGTGGGACCTTGATTCCCGTGGGGTCTTGGCAGGAATCACTGGGCTCCTGACTGGGGACAGAGACTTCTGTCCCAGCCTTGGGGCACAGGGACAGGAAGGCCCTGTCCTCTCCACCTTGGCCTTGCTTGGCCGGGCTCCTCTGCCTTCCCCTGGCCTGGGCTGTGAGCGTCCTGCTGAGAGACAGGCCCTGGGGACTCAAGGACCTTTCTGCATGTCTTCCTCAGCCTGTCCCCTGCGTTGCTGGCCACACTACAGAAGGACATCAAAGCTGTTCTCAGCAGCAAGGTGAAGACCCTGCGGGCGGCCCGGGACGGGGTGCTGCTGTCTGAAGGAGGGGTGAATGAACGAGGGGTTGTGGGCACAGGGAGTGGGAGCCTGGGGCGGATGGAACCCAGGGCCTCACGCGGAGAGCCGCTGTTCTACCACTGGGCACGTCCCCACCCAGGGCCCTTGACAGCCCCCTGTGGACAGTCCCCCGGAGGACAGAGGGGCTGATGTGTTGTCCAGGGGGAGAGGATGGGTCCCGTGGGGCGCATGCCCTTGGGGAGCCCAGTTCCGTGGGAGAGGCTGGGCGGGGACAGTGTTTGTGGACGGGGCACGGCGCAGAGCAGATGAGCCGGGTGGGTCCTGACCTTCCTCCCCGCCGTCACCCTCTGGTGCCCCGGGTTCCGTGTCTGCAGTGAGTGTCCGCCCTCCCCCGTGGGAGAGGCAGAGTGGGTGCGCTAGGGTCACAGCAGATTTTGCTGTTGTCATTGTCAGCATCGACTGGCCTGGGGGGAGGCTGTCCCCTGGAGCCGGGTCTCATTGCCCAGGGAACGGGTCCTCCCTCTCGGCCATTCCAGGCCAGCCCTTCCTCCCCGTGAGGAGTGTGGAGAGGCCAGATCAGCCTTCTGCGTGCCGATTCCTCCCAGAGGAGGCCACAGCCTCCCGCTGATGGGAGGACGGGCTGGAGGCAGGAGGGGCTGCAGCTTGTCCCAGGGTCCCACAGGCTGCCCAGGAGGACCCTGGCTTTGCCCATGGGGCAGCTGCTTCGAGATCCTTCAGGGCAGGGGTCGTGTGTGGCTCTAGGGGACAGGAAGGCCCTGTTCTCTCCGCCTTGGTCTTGCATAGCCCGGCTCCTCAGCTGTCCCTGGCCTGGGCGGTGAGTGCCCCAGCCTTGCGGTCTCTCCTCTGGCCAGAGCATGGCGCACACGGCTGCCCACTGTGCCTGGGAGAACCTCCAGTGCCCCTGGACTGGCATCTGTGGCTTGCTGACTGCTGTCCTGTCCTGGGCACTGCCCCCTCCAAAGCTGGCCCTCTGGACCCTGGGGCAGTAGGCTCCCAGCTTTGGTCACTTCCCCGGCTGGGGCCACCTCAGCAGCCTGCATAGCCCTGCTTCTGTGTGCCTCTGGGCCCCACCGCCATGACCAGCTCTGGGGCACTTCTCAGATTCCCTGGTGCCCAGAGGAGGAGCCGGAAGATGCCAGGGTGGGATTCCGGGCTCGGCGTAGGGGAAAGGGGAGCCTCGGCACAGCCCTGGACTCCTTCTAGCTCTGCCTGTAGCCACAGTGGCCCCTCACCACCTTCTCTCTGTCCCCCACAGCTGAACCTGAACTTGGCCAACCTGGTGGACAACATCAATATCCACATGGGCACCTTAATCGGTAAGACCTGGGGCTTCAGGGCAATGGGAGGCCAGGGCCCTGGGGCCCCCAAACCCTTCAAAGACTCCCCGGAATCTGGGAGGCCAGTCTTAGCAAGGCTGATGTGGGGTCTTCAAACCGCAGGTCTCTGTGCAGCCTGGGAGACTCTGAATTCTCTTTGATTCCAGAACCTGCATATTTTAGCTCCAATCATCTGAAGAAACGAAATAAAAGCAAATCTTTAAGTCATGGGTCTTAATATTGGAGAATCTTCAAGTCCAGCATCATTTCCAGGAATGGGGGATTTCAGGGCTCTGACACTCGGAAGGGGCCTCATAGCGACCTTTTCCTTCCATAGAGTTACAGTTGCAATGTGCTGGGATTTGTTGTGACACAGTGTGTCAGCTCACAGCAGCCCCAAGGGAATCCACAGGAGTCGGTCTGCACCACCCTGGGAGGCAGGCTGTGACTTTGGGGACGCGCGTCACTAGAGCTGGCCTGGCATGCCCTGGGGGTCGGGGCTCAGGCCTGGCTGTCGCAGATGTATTGTGTGTCCGGGATGCAGTTTCTTCAATCGAACAGTTATGCATTCAAAGGCCATGTTGGAAGGGATGGGTGACCACCCCATCCACTTGGGGACTTCATGACTATTAGTGCAGATTTCTGATTTTTGACGTGAGGGGAGGTTTTTCCTTTGCCATCAATTTAAGAAAAAGGAAGTTGATTTAAGCAGAGCTGTTGGTCCAGTGTAGGAGGACAAGTACAGCTTGCCCTTGAGCCTGACTGGCTGGACTCCTGGCTGTGTGACCCACGTTAGGTCAGTCAGCCTTCCTGGGCCTCAGTGTCCTCCTCTGTAAAATGGGAGCATGGCCTTCATGAGGATGAACTGCAGCGATTCGTGTAAAGTGCTGCGCCCAGGCTGAGCCAGGGAGCCAGCTGGGTTTATGGGACAGGGTGCTGGACTTTACAGATGGACTCTTGAAGTAGCTCTAGGAAGGGGGATGAGTGGCCCCAGGGCACCCATCCTGTCCTTTTTGTGTCCTTGGAGCCTTTGGGCATCAGGCTCAGGGCCATGCACAGCCTGTGAGATTAAAGGCAGTGGGCAGGAAGGGTGGGTCAGGGGCCCTAGGGGTGGGGCATGACCATTGTGTGCTGCCCCGGGGGCCCTTCCTGCAGGACAAGTTTGGGGGCCACCCACCATGCAGGCAGGGCCCTTAGTCAAGGCCTTCCTCCCCTCCACCTGTCAGGCTCCGTCTGCCTCCCCCACCCTCTGCCTTTAGCCAAAGCTCTAATAGTACTCTGTTTAAAACCCAGAAGAACACAAAACTATGTGGGGTTTCACCCTAGATGAGAGAGAGAGAGATAGAGAGAGACAGAGGGAGGGAGAGAGGGAGGGAGGGAGGGCAGGAAAAAGAGAGATTTACCTCTGCATAAGGAATTTTTTTTTAAATTTGAAATTCTGGGCTACATTTTCATCTATTTTTCCCATTTCTTAAACATCCTTCATGAATATATATCATTATTTAAAAACTTTTAATATTCTACTTATAATGAAAATATGGAATAATTCACCTTTTTTTAAAAAAGTGAATTTTGACAAATGCAGAGCTGCATAATCCCCTCATACTCAGGTACAGAGCATGACACTGGCTCCCAGGTCCCTTATGCTGCCCACTGCTCCTGATCTGTAGAAATGGAGTCATACTACGTTGCTTTTACAATCATAAAACATTTCCAAAATATTAGAGAAAATAAAATTAAATCCAGAAGAGACAATAGAAAAACAGGAATCTGAATAGAGATAAATACATTCATGTATTTATAAACATATTTACATATTTTTATATCCTATGTTTTTATATGGAAAATATTAAGTGTAATTACATATTTTATATGTAAACAAAACCAAACAATACAGACAGTATAATACACATTGATATCCATGCAGACTCATATACATACATAGTGAACTTGGTCATCCAGAGCCTTGGGAGCAGAGCTCTTGCTGAGGTAGGTTTTCCTAACAGCTGGGCTTGAGCTTAACCTGAGACACCTTCAGCCAGGTCCAGGGATGTGGTTCCCCTCATGGATGACTTCTGCAACCTTTCCCATGCAGAATATTCAGAGCCTTGAGTAAACTTGCCTCATAGGTTTTGGGCTCTTAATTGTGCCTCCTTGCAAGCTGCCCTGAGTCTTTGTAGGGGAGTCAGATTCCTGTGCTCTTGCACTGACTGCACCTGGGGATATGTGCCTTTGGTGTTCCTTTAGGGGGCAGTGTGATTAGATGGAGCGACCATAGCTTTGAGGTCAGACTGAAAACTGACCAAATATACAATCCTAGGCAACACTGAACTCCAAACAGTGTGTGCATGTGTGTAGGTAAAGTCATCTTCTAGTGTTGTGGTGGTGGCTGAATGAGAGTAAGTCAAGTATCTGGACTTGATAAATGTGAGCTCGCTTCTTTTTCTATTTTCCTTCTCGCTTTTTATCAGGCAGATTTTGTGCCCAGACGGAGCCTTCTCCTTCCTTCTAATTTTGAATTACTAGTCTTTTACTGATTGAGAAAGCAGAAGCCACCTGCCAAATTTGTGTCTAAACTAAGAGTCAACAGGCTGTGGGTGGGCAACACCTGGGTGTGTGCCCTTTGACATGTGCTTCCCCAGAGGCCTGGCCGGTCCCTTTGGCTGGCCTGGTTCTGGCTACTCAAGGTAGTCAGATAACCTAGTTTTGCTGGTCTAACTATCCCCTTTTTTCTTCTCCATCCTGATTTCATGAAGGCCTCAACCCTGTGAGCCCTGAGTCCCAAATCTGCTACTACATGATGAATGTACCCAACATCACCCGGGACTACATTTCCATGAATCTAAATGCAAGTACCTTCCTGTCAGCCCAGTGCTTGGCGCTGGTTGCCTCTGGGGTCCTTGGTGTCCTTGAGGAGTCTTAAAAAAATGGGGAAGTGAAAGGGAGAGGGGCTGGTGTGACGTTCTGCAGGGAGTGTGACCCCCAGGCAGAGGAGGTCACGTGAGGTGTGCTCGTGGCGGGTTGGGTGGGGGTTGGGATCTAGGAGCTGGACCTGTCCCAGGGCCATGTCCCTCCTGAGACCCTGCTGCTCTTCTCCCACCTCCACCGTAGGCGGTTCTCTTCCTGCTGGGCAACCCCATCATCCTGCCCATGGACACCCCCCACTTGGAGCTGCCAGAGTTAGTGGGCAACAAGGCGGCCATGGCCACTCTGGCCCTGTCTCAGAACCTGTTTGACTCTGTCCTGCTGCTGCTGCAGAAGGCCGGGGCCCTCAACCTGGACATCACAGCGCACCTGGTGAGCGAGGCCTCTGCCCAGTGAGTGGCCTTCCCGAGGGACACCACAGATGCCGAGTGGCAGGCGGGTGGGACAGATTGCAGGGTGGCCACTGGCAAGGTGGCGTGGGATCCGTGGGGCGGGCGGGGTTCCTGTCCGGGAGGGGCATGTGGCAGCCTTGCTTGGGGAATGGCTGCCTTAAAACTTGTCCTGGGTGGGGGCTTGCAGCAGTCAGATGACAACCCGCTGAACACCTCCGTCCTGAGCAAGTTCATCCCCGAGGTCGGTGCCTTTTCTGGTCACCCCAGGTACTGGGGGCTCCCTGGGGTGTGCGACCTCGGCTGGCTCATGTCCGTCCCAAGTGGGTTTGCTCAGTACCTGCCCTTAACTCTGCTCCCCAGCCCTCCGGGGTGCCCCTGGCCTGTGTGGACATCTCGCTCTGCTCTCCCACTGCCTCTGCCCAGCAGTGTCCCTGCCGGGCACCCTTTCTTCTTCCTGTGCCTTGTTCACCCTCAGGGCCCAGCTCAGGAGCCTCCTCCTGGAGGCCACGGGCTTGGCCTGGATGTGCCCCTGTGGCCCAGTCGTGAGGGCCCTGGTGGTGGCCACACTCGGGGGTGACTGGGTGGGACTTCTGCTCAGCCCTCGCCTAGCAGGGCTCCCTCCCTCGTGCCCTCTCTGCTTCTCCAGGTGGCCCACCAGGTCCCCGAGCACAAGCCCGTGGTGCTCAAGGTGCGCCTGGGTGCCACGCCCGTGGCTGCGTTCCACAACAGGAGCATCACGCTGCAGCTGCAGCCCCTGGTGGAGGTCCTGGCCACCTCCTCCAACTCGGCCTTCCAGTCCCTCTTCTCCCTGACTGTGGTAAGAAGCCAGCCAGGTGGGGCTGCCAGGTAGGGCGCCTCTCAAGAGCTCGTGCGTTCCTGACAGCTCCTCGCCGGCTTTCTCCTGTCCACGGTGGTCCCCTGTTGTCTCTTGAACTTGTTTAGCAGCACATTCCTGCCCCAGTGCCTTTGCACGTACTGGGCCCTCTGCAGAGGGCTCTTCCCTGCTCTTGGCATGGCTAGCTCCTTGGCATTTTTTGGTTCAGATTAAATGCTGTGGCCTTCCTCGGGGCACCCTGCCCCACCCTGAGGGAGAAGGTTCCCTCTAGCCCTTCCAGACCACCGCTCATCCTCCACTCCCTGCAAGGACTCTGTCTGGTTACTCTAACTTTGCTTAACCCCTACTGGCCTGTGGTGGGCTCCTGGGCAGGGACCTGGCCAGCTTCATTCACACTGCGTTGTCCCCAGGGCTGAGTGCAGGACCTGGCACCCGGTGCTTCACAAACACCTGTGTCGCCAACGAACGGGGTGGGGGTGGGGGAGGGGGAGGGGAGGGTGGGGAGGGGCTCCCGCATGGCTGTGCCCTGACCCTGCCCTCCCTGCACCCAGGGGGTGAACCTGAACCTTCAGCTCTCGGTGTCCAAGGTGAAGCTCTACGGGACCACCTCTGTGGTGGGGTAAGCGAGGCCTTCGACCCCAGAGGACTCGGTGGGAGGGTCTCTGCAGTGGGTCCACAGCCACGGGTCACAGCCACGGGTCACAGCCACGGGGGTCACGGCCGTCGGTGGGGGAGCCTGGGGTGCGGCCGGGTGCTGCAGGGGTGGGGGGAGCCAGGCCCCCCTGGAGCTCCCCTGTTTCTCTCCCAGGGACATCTACCTGGCCGTGGCCTCTTCCAACGTGGGCTCAATTAACGTGAGTTGGGGGGAGAGTCACTGAGCTCCCTACGGGTGGGCAGAGCTCCAGCCTGGGCAGGGTGTGTGCCCACATGTGCCACCATAATCAGCCTCCCTGGGGCGCTTGGGGGCAGTGGCCAGTCAGCTGGCCGGGCCCTGCTGCTGTGGGTCAGTCACAGCCTCTGGTCACTCTGCCTGGGGACCAATACCCCATGGGCCTGGCCCTCAGTCCAGGAGTCCTTTGTGATTAAAGGACAAGTCAGACAGTGTTGGCTGGTCCCGTGGGCATGCCATGTGGTCAGGTCCTTGGCCACCATGCGCTCGTCTGTGGGTCTGTCCCTGTCATCTGGTGCTGGCTGGTCCCCTGTGGCCACAGTGTGTGCGTGCTGGCCCACTGGGGCCTGTCACTCAGCCTAGCCTCACTCTGCGGCCCACTCCTGGGAGGCTTCCCCCGGTCCCCAGAGGTGGGTGACCTGCCTTCCTCCCTCTGCCTGTCCCTCTGTCTGTCTGTCTCTCTGTGAGCCTAATTGTCCCTCCTTCTCGGCCCGGCCCCTGGCTCTGTGGCTGCAGCTGGATGGCGTGTACACGCTCATGGACACCGTGTTCGAGAAGCCCCTGCTGGAACACTTCAATGGTGAGCTGTGCCCACCCAGCACAGCAGGGCCTCTGTCCCCTGTGGACCCCAGACCCCATCTGTGCTCTGCCCCACCCCCTTCCTGCCTCCCAGGCCCCAGAGTCCAGCTGCCTGTGTGGGCATCTAGGTATGTACCTGCATGGTAGCTGTGTGACCTCCACTAAGTTGCTTCCCCTCTCTGAGTCTCATGTCCTCCTTCTGTAAAATGGCGTAATAATAATGGCATCCGCATGACACCCAGGGCCGGCTCCAGGTGGTGGTCGGTCACTGCCTCTGGCTGACCGTGACTTCTTTCCCACCTGCAGCGCTCCTGGGCATAGGCATCTCCCTCCCGACGGTGACCAACCTCCACTATGTCAACTCTGATATCTGCATCAATGAGGTGAGGGTCTTTGGGATGGGGGGGCCGGGGTCTCCTCTCTCCCTCACACCTGCTAGCACCCACAGAGGGTCTTGGGGTCAGCCAGGCCTGGGGTTCACCTTGCTCCAGAGCCACACCATGACCCTTACTGTGAAGAGGTGGGCGACTCAGGACACCCAGGGACTCCAGTGGTGAGGACGTCACCCTGCTTTAGTCCTCACTAAGTCTCCCCAGATCCTGTGCCCTGGATGGGCACGGCCCTTTGGAGTCTGGGGTGGATGGCGGCTCAGCCTTGGGGACAACCTCTGTGGGCTGGAGGGGACCTTCTACAGGGACCTCTCTAGATGTGAAATACTGGCCCGGGGAGAACACCCAGCCGCCTGCGGGGACGCCCTAGAGTGGCGTCCTGTCTCCCCTGGGAAACAAAAGGGAATTCCCTCCGCCAGGAGCCCCCGGGACAGAGCGCTGAGCCAAGGCCCCTCCACGCTGGCTCTGTGCCACCACATCCCAAGGGGGACCCACTGATGTCCTTCCAGGGAGAAGCCCTTGTTCCTTGGGAGCTGTGGTCCCCAGGCACTTGGGGGATCCCCACCATAGGAAGGAGCACACAGAGGGGCAGGTGGGGATCCCCAGGACTCTCCAGGTGACGGACCCACATTAGTCCTCCAGAGGCAGAGACGTGCACTCCCAGTAGAACTTTCTGCAAAATGGAAATCTGCACCGTCCACAGCAGTGGCCACAGCAACTGTGACAACTGAGCCCCCTGGAGTGTGGCTCCTGCGACACAAGAGCTGAATTTTATTTTTTTCATTTAAATTATTTTTATGAGGCTGCGTGTGGCTAACGGCCACCATATTGGACCACGTGGCCCTAGACCGCGAGCTACCAACGAGCAGGGACTGGGTTTGGCTTGTTCTTTGCTGAGGCCCCAACACCTGCCGCAGGGCTTGGTGTGTAGTAGAGGCTCAATGAACGTTTGTTGAATGACTGAATGACTAGACCTGGGGAGGTACGGGGCACCTAGCTCTGCTGGGACGTGAAGAGGGTGTCCGATGGCCCTGGGCCCCCCGTCATACCACAGCAATGGCACTGACCACACAGAGTGCCCAGCTCCCATGGGTTCTCACTGCATCCTCACTGTAGCCTCGGGTACAGTTGTCCCCTAGTGACAGAGCAGGAAATGGAGGCCCAGAGAGGCGAAGGTCGGTGCTGGGGGGTGACTGGGTCCTACCTGTCCCCTCGGCCTCTGACCCGCCCATGGCTTTCTCTGCCCTTCAGAACTCCGTGGTGATTTCCAGCGGACTCTCATACCACCCCTGAGGCAGGAGCACCAGGAGGGCTGGGAGAGGCCGGCCTCGCTGCCCAGGGGCCCCCATCCCGCAAGTCACTGGGGAAGTGGAGGCAGAGCCAGCTGGAGCCATTGCCAGCGAGCCGGGCTGCCTGACCGGGCTGCGAACCTTCCCTGAGGGCCCGTGTCCCCAGCCCCGTCCCCTCCCCTGCTCTGCACCCTCTTCGGGGAACCAGCTGCTCTCTGGGCCGGTCGGATCGGCCTCCTCTTGATTAAACTTCTCTTGGTTGCAACTTTCACCAGGCCCAGCCACGTCTTTTTGTACCTGGGGTCTCTTCCCTACATGCCACCCCTGGGTCCTGCCTGTCCCTAGAGCCACCAAAGGGTGGCAAGGAGTTTCCTCTGATGCTCCAGGGCCGAGGGGAGGACTCACGGGGAGGGAGGGCTTCAGAAGGCGGAGCTCTGCCTCGCCGACAGCAGGGGCGTTGGAGAGCAGGGGCGTTGGTGGCTGCTGGGCCAGGGGCGAGGGCTGTGGCTGTGGGCCACGAGGCTGCTCTGAAGGCCACATGGGGAGTGGATGGGCCAGAGGAGCAGATGAGCTTGGAGAGGGCCGGGAGGGCTGTCCCCCGGCCGAGGCTGCAAGGTCCCTGAGAGCTGGGGTCTGGGCCCAGGCTTCTTCCCACGCTGCCCCCAGGTGCCCCCTTCAGGATGCGCCCTGCTCCAGGCAGGATGCGCCCTGGGTGCGTTCAGAGCCGAGAGGCAACGACGGCCAAGCAGAGATGGGAGGCCCAGGTCCTCGCAGCTCGGCCTCAAGGACCCCACTTGCCACCTGCCTTCACACTTAGCCTTGAACGCGTCCCTGCGCGTTTCCTGTTGAGGCCTCCGTCCCGCCCTTTGGCCCTCCTGGGTCTGCCCAGGCCTGCTCGCCCTCTGCCCCTCAGCCCCCAGACCCCTCTTCCAGGGCCACGGCTCCAACCACAGGATGTGGTTCCTGATGCCCGTGGCTTCTTTCGCACCTTGGATTCTCCTCTGACTCTTCTCAGAGTCCCGCCTACAGCAGGGGCATCACAAATGCGTGGTGGGTGAACTGCTCACACATGTCTGTGCTGGAGCTCTGGCTCAGGCTGGGCTCAGCCTTGAGCCCCAGGCAGTGTGACCTCGGGCAAATGGCTTGACCTCTCTGAGCCTCATTTTCTCTGTCTGCAAAATAGGGAAAATGGCCGAGGAGCCACCTCATCTGCTAGACCCTGGGATAAAGCGGGGTGGGCCCCGCCAACGACGCACAGGAACTTCACCTGAGGGCCCAGGTGAAGTCCCGTGGACGGGACCTATTATCACCCTTGCTACCTGCCCTGCAGAACCCCACCGTCACCCTAAAGAGGACAAGTAGTGGCCCAGGGGACTGCCAGGGCCACACAGCTGGGGCAGGGGCTGGGATGGGGCTCAGACCTTTGACCCCACTTGAGGGGGCTTCTCCTGTTCCCCGACCCCATGACCTTCCTGTCCCTCCAGCCCCTCCCCCAATCCCCAGGATGGCGCTGAGGGAGGGCAGAGAGGCCAGGGGGCTGCGGTCACGCCCGCTGGGTGGACCTGAGGGCGGTCGGATCTGTGAGGCCCACCTGTCCGTCCGTCTGCGGGGGCAGGTCACAGGGATAAGGAGATGCTACCTGAGGAGACCCCCTGGCTGGGCGGTCAGGGTAGGGACCCATGGGGCGCTGGGCTCTCTCTCGCCTCATCTCAACCTGGCTTCAGTCACATGACGTGACGGCCCCGTGTGCACGTGACACAGTGGCTCCCAGGCTGCCTGGGAAGTCCTCAGCCCCCAGCAGCCCCCTAGACTGTGGTTCATCGAGAACAGACACCTCGGCCCCCCGGAGGCCCTCCCAAGCTGGGGACTCTGAGGCCACGTTTGAGCCCCGGCTCGCTTGGTGACCCTCTGCTTCTTGGTCCCTGGGTGGGCCCTGAGAGAAAGCCCTCCTTCCTGGCACGTGCTGTGTCCCTCTTCGCGTGTCCTCAGAGGGCCCTTCTGAAGATGGCCCAATTGGCTATTAGCTCCCTGTGTGCCCTGGAAGGGGGTCTCAGGGGCCTCCTGAGGTCCCCACGGGTCCGGCCACATCTCCTGGCCTTTGCACTGGCCGGCCTTGCCAGCGTCACCCTCCTGCACACAGATCTGCTGGCCTTGTGGGGTCAGCCCTGTTGATGGCCCCGGTCTCCTCTCTCCCATCCCGCCGCCTGCCCGGCCTCCCCCAGGGGGATGTGGCTTCGTGACGGTGATTGGCCCGGTCGCCCCCTGTGAGCCCCAGGAGCCCTCAGATCAGGGATCCCGACTGCCTTGTGCACCGTGGTCACCCCAATGCCCTGCATGGCCCCCAGCACATAGTAGGCACTCAATAAATTTGTTGAAGGAATGAATGTGTGCTTGCTGTGTGTCCGGCCTTGGGGCAGGTGCTGGGACTAGGAGAGGGGACAGTGTGAGCACCATGCTCACTTGGGCAGCCACAGCCCGTCCTCAGAGCCACCCTGGTGCAGCACCCGGCTCCCGAGACGCCCCGTCTTCGGGGCTATTTATGTTGGAACAGACTGAAGCGTCACGTGAGCACACCGGCTCCTGTTCTTTGGGCCTCTAGATAATTATCTAGCCCTTAATTACCCGAGCAGCTAATCAGGCTCCTGAATATAAGGGCTTCCTTGCCTCAGGGTCAGGAACAGGGGTCAGTCGCCTGCAGGATCTCCCTGAGCTTGGCCAGGTAAGGACAGTCCCCCATCTGGGACCCTCCCAGAGTGCCTCTTACCCAGCACCGTCATTTCACAGATGACACAAGGCCCAGCGAGAGGACCCAGCAGATGGGTGGCAGGGCCAGGGCTTGGGTCTGGACACGGTGACCTTGGATGTGTGACTTAGGCCACAGACTCGGGGGACTCCTCAGACTCTGAGGGAGAAAAGCCGGGCTCAGGGCGACCTGGGTGGGGGCCTTGAGGACGAGTGGCAGGCAGAGGAGGGACCGAGGGACCCTGGGTAGAGGATCTGCCAGCAAAGGCGGGCGGCTGTCAGCAAGAGACGGGCTCTCTGCATGGTCAGGCTCAAACATGGCCTCTGAGGCCGAGGGTTGAAGGGAGACCTCCCAGTGGAGGTGCAAGGGCTGAAATCTGGCCCTGAGGGGCAGCAGGGGACGAAGGGTGGCTGGGTGCAGGGCAGGGTTTCTAAAAGGTGGGGACAGCGCAGGCAAAGGCACCAAGAGACAGAACCCGATGAGACCCCCAGAACTCCTGCAGGACCCTTATTATTCACCCCGCCCCAAGGGACCAGGACACCCGGCACCGTCGGGCCGGGGAGGGGGCCTGGGGTAGCGCTCAGTGTCCCCCTGTGTGAGCTGGGGCCGGCTCTGCCACCTGGTCCAGAATTGCCCAGCCCCCGTGATGACGAGCTCTGCCCTGGAGCACAGCACAGGGAGTGCCTGTCCTTGTCACGCATGCAGCTCTCCCAGGGGTCAAGAAAACATGAGGGTTGATGGCTTTTGAGCCCAGATAGAACCTGAAAGTCTATTGGGACAGGAGAATCGATCCCACTTTCATTTAGTGATATTGATTATTGGGTCTTCATGGTCCAGCTCCTGCTCATCCGTTAGATCTCAGCCTGGGGGAGGGGGTCCTTCAGGCCCCTCGTCCCTTCTCCCATTCCCTTCCTCTCGGGCACGGTGGTGAATGCCTGTGATCCCAGCCACTTGGGAGGCTGAGGCAGGAGGATCACAACTTCGAGGCCCTAAGGATCATGACTTAGTGAGGACCTAAGGAACTCAGAGAGACCCTTCAAGGAATGGGGGTGCAGCTCCTTGGTAGAGAGCCCTGGGTTCAGTCCTCAGGGTTTTGCACTCCGTCTGCCGGCACAGTGGGCACGCGATCAACGTGCATCAGTGGAGGAGCGCAGGCTCAGGCTGGGGTTGGGATGGCGGCTGACTGGCAGGAGCCCGTCTCTCAGGACCTGTGCGACAGGGGAGCCCCGTGCCTGAGCCTGCTGCCAGCCAGGTTCTGGCGGGAGCCCCTGTATGGGCTGATCCAGGTCGGGCCACCACAGGCTGCAGCCCCAAGGCTCCTGGGCCCCCACCTGCTCTGGGACCTGGGATGTCCTACAGGCACCAAGGCCCTGGGGCCTACACCCAATTCAGGCCCTCGCCCCAGGAGGAGCCATGCTGCGGATCCTGTGCCTGGCACTCTGTGGCCTGCTGCCAGGCACTCGAGCCGACCCGGGCGCGCTGCTGCGGTTGGGCATGGACATCTTGAACCATGGTGAGCCTGCGGGCTGGGGTGAGGGGCCAGGAGTGGGCTGTGGGGCACGTGGTTGGTGGTGGCAGCTCATGTTTGCAGGTCCTCAAATCAAACTCACAAGCAATGTGTTGTTATTATTGTCCCATCCCACAGAAGGGGAAATTGAGGCCCTGAGGAAATGAAATGACTTGTCCAAGCTTCTCCATGTTAGAGGCAGAGCTGGGAAGCCCAGTCCCTTAGAGTCTCTCCTTGGTCCTGATGGCAGGGGTTGGTGGCAACATGTGGGCTGTGGGGGTGACAGGAGTGGGTCAAATCCCAGCTCTGCCAAACAACTCTCTGTGTGACCTCAGGCAAGTCACTTGGCCTCTCTGTGTTGCTGTTTGCCCATCTGTAAATGTGAAGAAATGTAAAATAGGGTAACAAATGAACATGACCTTAAAATCCCGTAGGAGAGATCTTGTAAAATGTGTTTTCCACCTCGACCCCCAACTCCACCACCACAAGGTGAAAGGAGTCAAGTCCAAGTACAAAGGGCTAAAGGCGGGTCCACCGGCCTGGTGACTGGCCTTCTCGGAGAACTAGCCTGTGGCCCTGTGGGGGTGTTTCTGGCAGGGTGTCATGGGGTGGGGTCCTCCTTTCCTGGGGAGCAGAATTGCTTGGCCCCAGGCTGCGACCTGCACTTTAGCAAGCTCCCAGAGGCGCTGCTGACCATGGCTGAGAACATCTGGTTCTCGAGGAAACGGTGACACAGCTCGGTGTCCCCAGCCTCCGGGCCATGCACTCGCCGCTCCCGGCTGCCCTCGGTCCCCACCCTGCACTCCCCAGTGTCCTCTGCCCACTGTCCCCACCCTGCACTCCCCCGTCCTCTGCCCACTGTCCCCACCCTGCACTCCCCCGTCCTCTGCCCACTGTCCCCACCCTGCACACCCGTGTCCGCTCCTCTTCCCTCCTGCTCCCTGGTTGCTGTGTCTGCTCCTCCTTCCAGGACCCACTGATCTGTCCCCTCCTCTGGGAAACTCCCCAGCCCTGTCCTTCCTCCTGTGGTTTCTGCCTGCCCTCCTCCCGCTGGCTCTGGTCACTTGTTAATGTCACTGCTGGTGACTGGGTCTCTTCTCATTAGGGAAGGACAAGGCTTGGGGCACCGTCCAGCCTGGGGGGGGGGGGCACAGTGGTTGTAAGTGGCCTGAGATGCCCAAGAGATTGGCACAGGGCAGGGAGGAGTGGGAGCCCCTGAGTGTCCCTCTGGACGTCCCCTCCAGAGGTGCAGAGCGCCATGGAGGAGAGTCACATCCTGGAGAAGATGGCAGCCGAAGCCGGCAAGAAGCGGCCGGGCGTGAAGCCCATCAAGGGCATCACCAAGTAAGTGGGGGCGGGGGGGGGGGGGAGGGCCACCCTGCGCTGTCCTTGGGCCGTCACTGCCCCTACCTGGGCCTCCTCAGCCACCCACTGGGGACAATTCCTGCCCTGTGATGGGCTGGGTCCTTGTGAGGAGGATGCAAGGTCCAAAAATCCAACTCTAAGAAAATGAAAAAGTCCTTAAGCCGTGGAGCCCGGCGGGCGTCAGCTCTCATTTGATGACAGGAAGAATCGGTCATCGATGGCTCGGGGCTGCTGGCCCGGGGCACTGGGGAGGGTCCCAGGTTCTATTGGGACTTAGCAGGAAATAGGACTGTGATCCATTAGTAATGTCTGCCAAGAGCTCAGGGTAGGCAGGGGGAGGTTCGTGCACCACATCTTGTTACCTTGGATCTTGACTGGTGATCCTCATCCAGGGCTGGTTGTGCCTCCAAGGGGACATTGGCAATGTCTGGAGACATTTTTGGTTGTCACAACTTGCAGGCGAGTGGGGGAGTGTTACCAGAATCTAGTGGGTTGAGGTCAGAGTGGCTACTAAACCTTTCGCCAGCGCACGGGACAGCCAGCCAGCCACACCTGGGGACCGTCCTGCTTCCTTCCACCCACCAGAAGCCTTCATCTGAGCAAACCTCCCTATTTTGTTCCCCACAGAAGGGAAGGGAACCGTCAGATGTCACACAGAGTCAGCCCTGCGTCTCGCCCACATACCATGAGTGCTTTCCATGTACCATTGGTTCACACTCAGATTTTGCTCACATTTTGGGATGTCCCCTCAGGGCAGGCTCATCCCTGTGACAGGGAGAGGAGGCTACCCAAGGCCTCGCTGCGAGGCGAGGAGGGGCCGAGGGCCTGATCTTGCCAGCTCAGGCCTCACTGCCGCGGGTGCCTGTTCTCTCCCAGCATGAAGGTCAAGGACGTCCAGCTCCCTGTCATCACGCTGAACTTCGTCCCTGAAGTGGGCATCTTCCAGTGTGTGTCCACGGGCATGACCATCACGGGAAAGAGGTGCGTCTGTCAGGGACTGAAGTGGGAGGAGAATGGCCTCCCCGTCTCACTCTTACATGCACACTTATTGTGCGCCTACTGTGTGCTCTGGGTGCTGGGATCTGAGATGATCGGGCCTGGTTGCTGCTTTGATGGGAATCAGGCTCAGCATGACCGGGCACCGCATGATGCCCTAGAAGAACTGCTGAGCAGGAGCGAGGGGGCTGGGAGAGGCTCTGGGAACACGAGCGGGTTCTGAAGGATGTGTAGGAGTTCACCAGAGAAGAGGGGGCCCCTGGTGTGGGTCCCATTGCCTTTCCTGTCCCGTGGCTGGGGTTCCCTGCCTTCCTCCCTTTCAGGGCTGCTGAGATCATGGGCAAAGAGGGGACAGGGACAGTGGCCCTGGATAGGAGATGCCCACAATGCCGACCTGCCCCCTCCTCCAGTTTCATGGGAGGGAACATGGAGATCATCATCGTCCTGAACATCACAGCCACCAACCGGCTCCTGCAGGAGGAGGAGACGGGCCTCCCCGTGTTCAAGAGCGAGGGCTGTGAGATCACCCTGGTCAGCGTGAAGACCAACCTGCCCAGCAAGTGAGGGGCTCTGCAGCAGGGGCGGGGAGGCTGGTCCACCCTGCTACTGTCCCCTGCATCCCGCTTCCTGAGCACCAAGCCTCCTTAACCTTGTCCCTTCGTGTCCTGTGCCTGACCTCCTGCCACTGGCCCATGCTCCGGTGCTCACGTCCAGCATGCTGCCCAAGATGGTCAACAAGTTCCTGGACAGCACCCTGCACAAGGTCCTCCCCGGCATGGTGAGCAGCCGGAGTGGCCTCAGCCTTCCTTGCTGGGTGGCTCAGGCTTGGCGGGAGGAATGCCGTGGTCAGCTAGAGATGGCCACTCTGAGCACGGGTGGAGGAAGCAATGGTGCTTGCTCCTGCTCAGATGACCAGGCCCTGGGGAGGGACACCTCGCTGACTTTTCAGGCTCTGGTCAGGGGCTCTGCGTTCTAGTTCAGACTCTCGCAGTGGCTTCTGTGTGACCTGGGCTTCAGTTTTCCCACACGTCCTTGGACTGGACAGGTGCCTGGGGTCCCCACAGAACACTGAGCTGGAGGGCGAGGCCCCCTGCAGGGACCCGCTCACCCAGGGCCCTCTCTGCTTCCAGCTGTGTCCAGCCATTGACGCAGTCCTGGTGTACGTGAACCAGAAGTGGGCCAGACTCAGTGGTGAGTGTCCCTAGCCACCCCTCCCGGCTAGGGACAGTAGCCACGCTATGCTGGGCCACAGCCTCGTGTCCTCGTGGTGTATCTGACTCTTCTTGGCCAATGGGATCTGCTTCCTGCATCATTTGGGGACCCAGGGGGCTCCCCAATATGGGAGAAAAGAAATCTCAATGGCTTGGATTGTCCCCAGCAGTGTGGCCTGACTCTGCTCATCTGCAAAGCCCCTGGTAGCCCTGCCCTGCCCCCCGGCTGTGAGATCAGGCCCTGGGTGAAGCCTCTGATCCTGCAGAGGGGAGGGGCTCCCGGCCGGGCCCCTCCTGGCCTGAAGTCTCTGAGGTCCAGAGATGCTAAGAATCTGCCTGGGGTGACACAGAGGGACAGGTTCCGGGAGCAGCTGGCCAGTGCCGGCTTTTCTGGGGGGCCCCTGGGACTGGCGTCTCTCTGAGTGGAACCCCCTCTGCACAGACCCTATGCCCGTGGGCCAGATGGGCACTGTCAAGTACGCCCTGATGTCCACACCGGCCACCACGGCCAGCCACATCCAGGTGGACTTCAGCGTGAGTGCTGGGCCCGGGGGTGGCCTCGGCTCACTGGACCTGGGGGTGGGGCCTGTTCCCCAGGGCAGGGGTCGGCAGGGGGGTCCTCTCCCTCTCTGCTCTAAGCATGACCGTGGATCCCCCAGCTGGCTGTGGGGGCTGCTCGCTTTGTCCCAAGGCTGGCACACAGGTGGGGACACGGAGAAGGGGACGGGCAGGGCTTGGCTAGGGTCCCATGGGAGTCGGTGGCCTCCAGGGCCCCAGGTGACAAGGTGAGATGCATCTTCCAGGACCGGGAAGAAGACTCCTAGAGGTCATCGCCCCATGACGTCTTCCTGCAGTGGGCTCCTGGGGTCCCGTGGGGTTGGTCCCCTCCCTCTTTCTCCTGAGGGTGCGGCAGGAATCGTGTTCTGGAGAGACGAGGCCCCAGCCGATCAGTCAGGCCTGCTGAGGTTGCCCCCCTGAGGGAGACGCCCAGAGGCCTGGGGACTGGCTCCCTTCTCACTCTTGGGCCTCAGCCCACCCGCTGTCCATGGGGGTCCCTGCTGCCATCCTGGCTCGAACGCTGCATGGCCTGCTGACTGGGACTTGGCTTGAGTCCCCCCTGGCCACAGGCTCTCAAAGCTGTGTCTCCCTCCTGGCCACCCCACAGCCCGAGGTTACGCAGCAGAAAGGCAAAACCATCAAGCTGGCCGAGGACGGGGGGCCCCTCGAGATCCCGGGGGGCTATGCCGAGGGGTCATCGCAGCTGCTGCTCTCGGCCGCCCTCCTCACAGCTGAGCTGGCCCTTCTGCAGAAGTCCTTCAACATGGACATCCAGGACCAGACGGTGAGCCCTGAGCCCGCCTCCCCGGCCTCTGCCCGGAGTTGTCTGTCCTGAGATGGCCCTGGGGCAGCAGGACACCTCCGCTGGGGGACCCAGGGCTGCCTTTTCACTCCCATCAGCCCACACTCACCCCCACCCCTGTGCCACCCACACCCACCTCCACTGGCCCTTCACCTGCTGTGGCTGCCCCCTCCCATCTCCCTCCTGCTTCTCCATCCAACAGTGTGGCCTTGACCCCTGACCCTGGGCCAGGAGGTGGAGCCTGAGGCTGCACCTGCTGAGCCAGAGGCGTGGTCCGGGGACTTGGGGACCCTAACTCTGTCATTTTGTAGATTGGTGAGCTGCCACCACAAACCACGGTGACCCTGGCCGGCTTCATCCCTGAGGTGAGTGTCAGTCCTCCCCGACCTGTCCCCGCACCCTGCTGGCACCCAGGGCTCTCCAGCCCAGTCCCTCGCCCTCCCACCCTTGGCTTCCCGTGAAGCGCCCTCCGGGCCCAGCAGGAGCCGCAGCTCAGCGTTTGGAACAGCCCGGCTGAGTGTTTGCTCCTCTTTCCTGAGACACCTGCCAGCCCTTTGCCTGTCCTATGTCCTGGGTCCAAGGTGGAAATCACCCCTCCCCTGAGGGACTCTGCTTGCTCCTGAAGCCACCTGTCTAAGGCCCAGCCCGGTCCTGCAGGTGGCCGAGGCCTATCCCAAGCCCAAGCCCGTAGTGACCCAGATCAGGATAAACAAGCCCCCCAAGGTCACCATGAAGACGGGCAAGAGCCTGCTGCACTTCCACGGCTCGCTGGAGATCTTCACCACCTGGCGGCGGGGCAAGCCCCCCATGTCCCTGTTCCTCCTGGAGACAGTGAGTGGGCGGTCCCCCACGGGTCCCCAGCCTCATGGACGTTCAGGACTAGAGGGTGGGATTTCAGTTGAAAGCCCAGAAGGAGATCAAAGCATTCTTAGTCCACCTCGATTGTGGGGCCCTGCCCTCCCGGGCACTGTCACCTGGGTCTGACACTGTCACCTGGGTCTGACTCCTGCTCCACCACTGAGCCTTGGAGTGGACAGAGCAGCCAAGGAGGCTCAGTGTGGACTCCTGCCCCTGGGCCCCTCCTTGGCCTCCAGTAGCAGCCACAAGGGCAGTGACAGTTCTCCTAGGGGACACGAGAGCCCAGAGAGACCGAGGTTCAGTCTGGGGAAACCACAGGGAGGTGATGGCTGAGCTGGGTTTTGAAGGTTGAGCAGCAACTGACTGGGGAGCAGGGATGGGGGACACCCCAAGCCAAGGTGACAGCCGAGGTGGAGGCCTGGGGTGAGACGTGGCATGTGCAGGGACCCTCCACGGTGCCATGGAATTCTGCAAGTGCTGTCCTGGCCCAGGACAGGGAGAGACAAGGAACCTGGGGACGGGGGGAGGCTGCTGGGTCTGGTTCCTGGAGGCCTTGTGGGCAGAGAGCCGGACTCGGCTTTGTCTTCGCGATGGTGGCGCCAACGGGGGCCACCGCCCCTCTCTGCTTCCTCCCCTGACGCCAGCACTTCAACCTGAAAATCCAGTACTCGGTGCAGGGGAACCGGCTGCAGATGGACACCTCTGTGGACAGGTGGGGGCCTGCTGCCCAAGCTGGCGCTGCTTGGCTTCCTGCTCCAGGTTCTCCCCATGGTCCGTCCAGTGCAGCCCACGCTGCCAGGCTGCTCTGGTCACTGCCCCTGCTCTAGAACCCTCAATGGCTCCCACTGCCTGCACTGTCTTTTCTTACGTCTTAGCTTGGCACTCCAAGACTTGCTCAAGTTCACCTCCTTCTCCCCTACTTTTCCACTAGGCTGTCACAGGGTCTGGTCATGGGCCCATGTCCCATTTTTCATTCATAGGTTTTGGCCCATGTCACCCAAATGCCACCAGAGTCAGGGCCTTTGAGAGGCACTGGCCACATGTATTACATTCGTTCTTACGCTCCGGAGGAGAGTATGTTGACTTCCTAGATTTATGTTCAGTCACCCATTGATTTTTGTATATGTCTAAATAGTGAGTGACTCATCCTATTTGGGGATTCTTTCAGTTGAAAGAGACAGAACTCCAACTTCAACTGCTTTAAACCCCAAAGGGAGTTGTTTGGCTCACATAACTGAAAACTCTAGGGCCAGGTGTGCTTTCAGGCATGGTTGGATCCAGACACACAAATCCTCAAGAATCTGACTCCCTCCTCCCCTTGAGCTGACTATCCATTTTGTGGCTCCTCTCCCCTTGGGGTGGCAGAGTGACCCTAACAACAGGAGAATGGTTCCAATAAGATCACCAAGGCTTGGATCCAGTGTGGGTCACATGACCAACTCCGGGCCAGTCACAGGGACTGAAGGATGGAATGGTCTGGTCACCTGGCCTGGCTCCCTTGGGGCTTTGGGTCTTGCTCTCCTCAGTGCCTTGGACTAAGAAGGGGATAGAGTGGACAGGCAGAGCCACCCGACCACCTTCCCACGTGCCTAAGGGGAGATGTGCTGGGCGAGGGCTCCTACCCTGCGTCCAGCAAGGACGTGAACTTGGCCGTGACCCTTCACCTAGCTGGCCTGGGGCAGGAGCCAAAGACGTGTCTGGGGAGGAGGTTCAGGAGATCTGGTGGTTTCAGCTGTGGACACAGAAGGGATGGTCAAGAGGCGGGTCACGTCCCTCACAGGTGACGTGCAAGCAGAGGCTCCGAACACCCGAAGGCTGCCTCAGGGAGGGGTTGGGAGTTTGGGACCCCCTTCTCCAGGGCCAGGTCCTGTGGCTCTGACCGCCCCCTCCCCCACAGATTGCTGAGCCTGACGCGGGGGTCCTCATCAATTGGTAACTTCAACGTAAGTGTCCCAAGAGCCTCTGCCTGGTCTGGTTTGAGGGCAGGGCTGAGCCGTTCTGTCCTGGACCACAGGGAAGAAGTCTCCGAACAGAGTTAGAGCCAAGAGAGAAAGGCCATTGGGAGACTCCAGACTCCTGATCCACTGTGTGACCTCAGGGCAGTCTCTTAACCTTTCTGAGTTCCCGTTTTCTAGCTAGAACCTGGATATCTCCCTGGACTGACTTTCAAAACATGGCCCAGTGGCACTCTGGGCTGGCTTTCCTCAGCCACGCTGTGGTTTTTATTAGTTTCTGTGGCCCCAGGGCCTGGCACAGTCCCTGACTCTGGCAGGAGCTGATAAGAACCACAGAGGCCCATCCCCCACCCAGTGTGCTGGGCTCCCACAGCCCGTGGGAGGCACAGGGAGGTGGCGCCAATGGTGGATCAAAGCTGCTGTGTTTTGTAGGAGCAGAAGTAGGGTCCACAGTTCTGCCTCCCGAATTTCCAATTCCCGCTCCATGACCCAGGCCCACACCTCACCAACAGGCACCAAGCAGAGAGGGGCAGAGGCCTACGGTCACCCAGGGCAGGACCCAGAGTTTTTTTGGTACCCAGGGGCACTTGCCCACTGAGCCCCTATTCTGTATTTTATTTAGAGACTGGGTCTCACTAGTTGCTGAGGGCCTCGCTGTTTGCTGAAGCTGGTTTTGAACTCGTGATCCTCCTGCCTCAGCCTCCTGGGCTGATGGGATTACTTGCGTGCACCACTGCACCCAGCGAGGCCCAGCTTTGAAGTGAGCCGGACAAACTGCTCAAAGTCTCTAATGTCCATTGCCGTGGTCCCCAGGCCTGGCCGGAGTGAGGCCCGGGAACTGGGTGGGGTCGGGTGGGGATGAATGATGGCGGGTGTGCTCTCTCCCCCCCAGGAGGAGGAGCTGACTGGCTACATCACCGATTATCTCCAGGAAGCCTTTGTCCCCGTGGTCAACGGTGAGGCCTCCAACAGGCGTCCACTTCACTGGTGCCAAGAAGCACCGGGAAGAGATGCCACCCACCTGGGGGATCTAAAGGGGAGTGGAGAGCCATTGCTGAATCTTTGAGGTCAATGTCGTCTTAATGTCACCTGCCTGGGGACCATGGCCCATCAGTTTGGTCTTTGACCCTTGACCCCCATATCATGAGCAAGACCTTGAGCTGGGCCTCAAATACTGTCCCCAGTGGACATTGCAAATCGATCACGGCACTGGGCTCCAGGTGACCTGTCCTTAGTCCCCCGCAGCGAGGCCCCCAGTGACGCTTGCTGTACTTCTCAGATGTGCTCCGAGTGGGGTTCCCGCTCCCGGATCTTCTGGCCATCGATTACAACCTGGCGGAGCTGCACATAGCAGAGGTGGGGCCGGGCGTGGCCACGCCACTGACACTTAGGCCAATGGACGAGGAGCAAAGCCTGCCCTTCTCAAACGGGAGGGGGTGGGGCTGGGGAGGCGGCGGCCATGGTGTGACCCTGTCAATCCCCTGAGCAAGTCCCCGCCCCTCGCAACCTGGGCCCTCCTGGGCCAGCGGGTCCCCAGGAGAATCCTGGAAGGCTGCTGCTCTCTTCCTCTGCCGCCACATCACTTGTCCTCCCTCTGCCACTGTTTTTCTGTTTAAAATGGGGATGACAATCCGGCCATGGACCTCACAGAGCTGTTAGGAGCCACTGAGATGATTCACACGAGGGTATACAGGAGGTGCTCAATAATTACAAGCGCTTCTTGGCATGTCACGCCTTGAACTTGGAAGGTTCACTTTCCTCACGTCGATCTCTCCACTCTGGGAGCTTTGCCCTTTGACAGTTGAAAACATTGAGGCCCAAGAGGAGAAGGGACGTCCCCAGGGTCACAGGGCAAGTCTCCCGCGACCTTCACTTAAACAGTGCAGGCTTTCCATCTCCTCCCAGGGGCCCAGCCCCGCCCCGCCCCTGTGCCGGGTGGCCCGTCCCTGCTCCCCCGGTCCCTCTCCACCCGGCCCTTTTCTCCTGCCAGAATGCTCTAGTGCTGGATCTGAAGCGGGACTGACGGGTCAGGACCCCCGCCAGCTGCGGCCCCCGCCTGTCCCCGTGGAGGAGCCCGCTGATTGGAGCTGGCGGCCACTACCACCGGAGGCTGCTTTTAGGTCGAGGAGTGACCGGGAGGGGCCCGGGCCTGGCAATAAACAGGAGAAAGACCTTCAGACGCGACACTCTGGTCTCTTTTCTAATAGCAAGTCCCCGTGTGGCTCCCCTTGGTGGGTGCTAGGGTCTGGGATCAGCCTGGGGTCTACAGGACAGTGACTGGGGTCTGGAGGACAGGGACTGCAGTCTGGTGGGGGGCTTGAGCACCCACTGAAGCCTGGCTCAGGGCTTTTCTCGTCTCCATAACCACGTGGGGGGAGGGCAAGCGCCGTGTTCCCCACTTCACGGATGAGGTTGTTGACGCTCGGGGTGGTTGACCCCCTGGTTCAAGGTCACTTTAGCAAGTGGTCAAGCTCTTCCCATCTCAGCTTTGTGTCCCCAAATCTTGGCAACTTGAGGATGGCTCTACTCACGAGGAGCCTGTGCCCCAGAAGCTGTTCCATGTCCTCATAGTAACAGAGGCAGGCGAGGACTGTCCCCATTTCACAGATGAGGAGACTGAGGCTCAGAGAGGTGGGAAGGCTGGCACCAGGCCCTGGGTAGCCACGGTGCAGAGCAGGGGCTGGGTTCCAGCTCAGGTTTGAACCTTGGCTCTGGTCCTTGCCCCGTATGCCTGAGCAGAGCGTCCCCCCCACGGGCCTCAGCTTCTCCAACTGTGAAGAGGGTGACGTCGCACAAGCCCCAGCAGGAGTTGTGGGATGGGGAGAGAGGAATCCCCCAGAGCACATGGGCCAGTTAATTAGTAAACCGGAGCTGGAGCCCAGGCCTTGGGACAAGCAAGTGCTCCACCCCTAAGCTCCGTCCCCAGCCCTATTATTCTCAGAATTGACTCTTTTAAAAGTGGGGACTTGGGCTGGGGCTGGGGCTCAGTGGCAGAACACTTGCCTCACAGGTGAGAGGCACTGAGTTCGATCCTCAGCACCACACAGAAATAAATAAATGTCTATTGACCACTAAAAATCATTTTTTAAAAGTGGACGTCTGTTTACGTACAGTTGGGCTATAATGGGTATTCTCTGCAGACCCTGAAATCAGTTTCATTTGCTAGAATGTTAAAAAAACCTAGGGGCTGGGGCTGGGGCTCAGTGGTAACGCCCTCACCCAGGATGCAGGAGGCCCTGGGTTCCAGCCTCAGCACCACATAAAAGTAAAATAAAGATACTGTATCCATCTAAAACTTAGAAGTAAATATTTTAAAAAAAGAATCTGTAACATTGAAACAAAAGTGCACCTGGGTGAGCAGCACATGGACCCCGTGGGAATTGCCAGGTGGGGCTGTGTGTCCGTGGGTCCGTGTGTCTGTGTCCACACGTTGGTGTGTGAACCTGTCAGGATTTCTGGGTCTCCGTGGGGTAGGCTCTGGCAGGGTCCGGGTGCCTCTGTGCGTGTGGGGAGTCCACGTCTGGTCAGGAGGCCGTTGCTCCGCAAGCTCCTGAGGCCCTGCAGGTGGACTCTGTCCCAGTTTGGCCCCAATCCCTGCCAGGCCGCCCCTGTCCCTCAGCATCAGCCCTAATCTCATGGCCCATCGTCTCCAGTTCTGGGACAATGGCTGCCTTGAGACACTCTGGCAGGCACAGTCGCCTGGCTAATCCATGGGAGTGCCAGAGACGCCCCTGTGTCCCCAACTCTGCCTGGTGTGTTCAACAGCACACTCACAGCCACCTTAAGCCCTAGGGCCACCCTGCCCAGGCCAAGTGCAGGTGGGACAGCAAACTTAGGGCTGCTGGATTCAGAGGCCTGGGTCCCACCAGATGCTGGACACTGAGTGGCCTCAGGCAAGCCCGGCTCTTCCTGGACCTCAGGGTTGGATGCTCTGGCCTCGAATCTGATTTCAAATGCCTTCGAGTGGCCAGCGATCTGGACTCACCTGGGTAGAAAACCGAGGCTGAGTCCACAAAGGGAGCCTGAGGGCAGTGTTGGAGGTCCCATCCCCAGACACTGTTCCTCCTTCCCCTATGAGGCTGGGAGGCTCAGAGAGGTGAAGTGTCCTGCCCAAGGACACACAGCACAGGTGGAACTGCACTTGAACCCTGTCTCCTCCTCAATCCTTCACACCACACTCAGGGAGGCAATGACATCCTTTAAAGAGTGTGACGCAGGGCTGGGTGTGACTCAGTAGAGCACCGCCCTGGGATCCATGACCAGAATACGGGGTGGGGAGAGAAGAAAGAGAGAGAAACAGAGGCACAAGTTCATAGGGCGAGAAGGGGCAGTGCCTGCCCTGGGGAGAGGAAGCCCTCGTCCTTCCTGCCCCCACCTGCCCTGCCCGCCTCCTCAGCCCACCCCGACAGCTGGGATTGGAACCCGGGACCTCTGACTGCAAAACCCAGCCAGGAGCTAATCAATGCCTGGGGTCACCTCTCGTCCCTGCACCGTCCCTCATGGCACCCCCACGCCTGTCACCAGGCTGCGCACCCCGCCCCTCCTGCAAGCTGACGTGCACCTGGGCCCCCACAGCCACTGTCGGGGTTGCAAAGGGGGAGTCCAGAGTGTCAAGTGACCCCCCTCCCTGGCAGGCCCCATCCTGACCCGGCTTGGGTCCACAAGGACAAGGGGGCGTCCAGGGAGCTGGTGGGGCTTGGTGTCCCCCGTGGGGCCCGGAAGGGAGAGGAGATGAGGCGGGTCAGAAACTCAGTAGCCTTTCCCTCTCTTCCCAGAGGCCGGGCCGGGTGGTGGCCAGGACAGTGAGGGTGTGGAGTCCTGGCTGGACGGCTGTGTGGCCCTGGGCAGGTTGCTTTCCCTTGCTGAGCCCATGCTGCTAAGGAAAGGCAGGAAATGATAACAGCGTTCACCTCCTGGGTGACTAGATGTGTGCACATGGCTCAGATGCCAGGTACACAGTTGGTGCTCAATAAATGCTAGGCATGAGCCTGCTTTCTGTGAACAACTGTCTTCATGTGTTGGTGGAACCCAGTGCTGGAGCGGAGGCCACTGGGAGAACCGCGGCCTCAGCCAGTGGAACAGACCACACAGTGACCTGAGTGAGACAGGGTCACACACTCGCGGCAACTGCCTTCACCACTGTGAGTGGCAGGAGGCTGGGCGCCTCTGGACAGGAGGACTCAGGGACAAATAGAGTGTCCAGGCACGAGTGGCCCTCGGCCAGCAAGCCCTTGCCCACGTGGACGCGGGAATGGGCCCTGTGGACGCGGGAGTGCAGGGAGCCATGCGCAGAAGGGACGTGTCCCCAGGGTGTGAGGAGCCAGGGGTTCAGAGGTCACAGAGGCTAACAAGGCGTCCCCTCCGCCATCCCCACCTCCCCAGGCACAGGCCCAGGGCCCTGCAGGAGACGCGGCTGGCCTGTCACCGTCTGGCAGAGGAAATCACAGGGACCAGGGGGACTCAGGTGGCCCCTCATCCAGCTGGGGCTCAGGAGGCTTCCTGGGGGCCCGACAGGCCGCGGGGGGAAGGCAGCCGGAGCCGGGCTGCAGAGCGAGACCTCTGGCCTCCGCGGCCCCAGCGCCCCCAGGGGCCTCCCTGCTGTCCCAGGAGCGTCCCCTCCCGGGTGCCTTCCCAGGCCGCCCCGCTGAGCACCATCCCCCACGTCCCCGTGTCCTGGGTGCTTGGTCCAGAGCCTTGTGTCCCCCAGGACAGCCAATGGCCACCCAAGGAGGCGGCTTGAAGTGTGGCAGGCTCAAGTTCTGGAGTGACGGAAGCAGATCTGAGCAGAAGACAGTGACCCCCTCGTGAGGACTTCATGCTGGACACGTGAGGTGGTAAAGTTTGGGGGACCAGGCTCGGGGGACCAGGCTAGCAGGACTCACCTCACCTTTGCCTTTAACCTTAAAACAAAACAAGCCAACAAACAAACGTGGCCCTGAAGGTCTGTGGTCAGCTCCTTAAACAGTAGGTGCTCCCTAATTGCCTGCTGCAGTGTGAGCGACTGACGCAATGGACACCTCACGTCTGTCATCCGGACCCACCTCAGGAGGGGACGAAGCTGCCTGCTCTGGAGTCCTGGGGACGTCGGGCCTTGGGAGGGGGTGGAGCAGGCGCCCTCCCCAGCTCCACCCAGAGTCCCTCTCTCGAGGCCCTTGGCCGTCGCCCCGCCAGGCCCAGGGCTGGCAGAGAAGGGACAGAAGGCCCCGTGGCCTTAACCTCCTCCTTCCTCCGGGGCCTTCGTCGAGGGGCGGAGAGGGGGGCAGAGAAGATTCTGGCCCTGGGGGTGGCTGATGGGGCCCTGTCTGGGGGCACAGCCCCCTGGCCCCCAGGGGCAGCCTCTCCCGCCCGGGCGCGACCCAGCTGGCGGCCCACTCTGCAGGAGGAAGGCTTAGCCAGGCCCTGGGGGAAACCACAATTGGCTTCTGACATGACGCGTTGACGGGTTCCTGGCCGCTTCGCCCCCTTTGTGTCCCCGAGCTGCTGCGGGCATATAAGGGCTGTCCCTGGGCTCAGCTGGTGGAGGGACAGACAGAGGCCCGAGCCCCACCCACCCCGAGGAGCCTCAGGAGCAAGCGGGTAAGGCAGCGGGCGGTGGCCCTGTGGCCTCCTGTGGGCCCCTCTGCATGACGGGCCCAGAGGAGTCCCCCTAGGAGGGGCCTGGAGTGCCTGGTGGTGACAGGAGGGAAACCCCATCTTACAGATCTGGGCCCCAGAGAGGTCCCAGCGGGTCTGGGTGGGCTGGGGACAGGACGGTCCTATGGGCAGGAGTCAAAGGTGTCATTCTTCTCTAAGTCGCGGAACCTGGCTGGCTTCTCACCATGGGGGCTCCTGTGAGAGACCCCGGTGGTTGCGGGGACACTCTGGGTGAAACGAGGTGCACAAAGCCAAGACTTCTGCCGGCCACACGGCACCCACATGGCCCCTTGGTGCCAAGGAAGGGAAGGTGCCTCCTCCTCAGGGCATGTGGCTGCCGAGTCACCCCCTGCCCCTGGCGGCACCCGTCCAGCACACAACCAGGCGTGG